AATGACTGTATTGTACTGGACAAAAGACCTTTTTAAAGTGTTAAAAGAGTAAAGATGTAACTTTGAAGACTAAGGTGCACCTGAACCAAGCCATGGTGTTTTCAGTAACCTCTTATGCATGTGAAAGCTGAACAATGAATAAGGAAGACCAAAGAAGAATTGATGCCTTTGAATAGTGGTATTGGCAAAGAATATTGAAAATACCATAGGCTGCCAAAAGAACAAACAAATCTGTCTTGGAAGAAGTAAAGCTGGAATGCTCCACAGAAGTGAGAATGGCCAGACTTCGTCTCTCGTATGTTGATCATATTATCAGAAGGGACCAGGTCTCTGGAGAAGGATATCTTGCTTGGTAAAGTGGAGGGTCAGTGAAAAAGGGGAAGACCCTCAACAAGATGAATTGACACAGTGGCTGCAATGATAGTTCCAGCATAGCAAGTATTGTGAGGATGACTCAGTACCAGGCAGTGTTTCATTCTGTTGTACATAGGGTTGCTATGAGTCGGAGCCAATTCAACAGCTAACAACAACAAATCTGTTAGCTAAGTCTCAAAGTCAGACAGTCAAATGAGAGGAAAATTCTGCCTCTTCTGCTCTTGTCCATTATGAGCTCCATGCGCCCCACTGCCTGCAAACACCAGGCTTTGCCCCCAGCAGCCTGTCACCCTCCTGACTCACACTTCAGTGAAAAGCAGTGCTGTTTGCCGTTTACTCTCACACCATAAACTGCCACCTGGAAAAAGTGCTTAGTAAACTCAAATAAATAATAAGTTAACCTTCTCTCCAAAGGTTCTCAGGAAAGCTCAGCCCTGCGCCTAGGTCTAGCATTCATTGTGACCAGGAGGTCATTGCCCTTGTAGTATTGTGCGGAAGAGGTGGGAGTTTCAGAGACAGAGTTTAGGGAGGCCTAGGGCCTAGAGATTCTTTTTCTTGAGGAAAGCTCAAGATGTTTTCTGTGTGAGCAAGAAGGGAAGGAAACTCAAACAACATCTAAAGAAAACCCCACTGTTGGAGTGCTGCTGGATATAGTAACACCTTGCTCCAAAGCCCCACCCTCACTAAGAGCATGTGTGGAGAGATAAGCAGACAAATACTCAGCTAGGCAGAGTGGGGGTGTACATGAATTGTTTTAAATTTTCAGGTGTCTAGAGCCCTGGGAACTCACTGATTTATTCATTATCCAGCAAACTTTAATTAAGGATTTATTCTGTGCCAAGGCCTGTACTGGGTACTAGGACAGAGGTGATGAGAGGAATTAGAGCCAGCCCCATCCTCAAGTTGTTCCTACTCTGATGATGAACTAACACAGAAACAGAAAAACTGCTCCACCATGTAATATGGAAAGGAAAGGAATAAGAAAATATCCACAGAGTGAATCACAGGAGACTTCTCAGAGGAGAAGGGGCATTCAAACAGAGCCTTGGGAGTAGATTATGGTGTGTAACATGGAGGATGGTTATATCATTTGATGCTATAGTCTTAGAGCTGGAAGAAATCTTGTTGTTGTTGTTAGGTGCATTGAGTTGGCTCCAACTCATGGTGACCCTATGTACAATAGAATGAAACACTGCCTGGTCCTGTGCCAGCCTTACAGTCCCTGCTACACTTGAGCCCATTGTTGCAGCCTCTGTGTCAATCTATCTCATTGAGGGTCTTCCCCTTTTTCGTTGACTCTTCACTTTACCAAGCATGATATCCTTCTCCAGGGAATGGTCCCTTCTGATAACATGACCAAAGTACGTGAGACAAAGCGTGGCCATTCTTGTTTCTAAGGAGCATTCCAGCTGTACTCCTTTCCGGACAGATTTGTCAGTTCTTCTGGAAGTCCATGGTACTTTCCCCTTGCCATAGATGAGGAAACTAATAAGAGGGAAAGTGACTTTCCCAAGGTGACAGAGGACAGATTAATGATTGATCAGGTTTGTGAGGCGTGGACCTCACAAACCTGATCCTTAGACTCCAGTCTAAAACTCACTGTCCTGACCTCAATTTCAAGAAACTTTTCTTGAGTTAATGATGTTTTCCATGCCCTTTTCTATCCCCCACTTCACTGAGGGCTTACTACAGCCCAGTGAGATCAGCTGAGGCAACTCTGAGGCAGTGGCATTATTGCCCACACTCTCCAGATCAGGAAGTCAAGGGACCTACCTGAGGTCACACAGCTCAGAAGTTGCTGAGCCTGGGACCAAAGCTAGGTTTTTTTCTACCCATTTTATAGCAGCCTTCATCCTCTGGGCAGGCAAGAAATCCCATGTGTTACTGCTGGCATACCTCCCTTTTGAGGCAGTGTGCTTGCCAGAGTGCTAGCATAGCAACACACTATAAATAGTAACTCTTCCTGTTGGTTTCTTTGTTTCTTAAGTTCTCAGACATTTTAGCCATTGCCTTCAGGTTGGTGTGGAGGTCTGAGGCCTACAATGTATTGTTTCTTTACCTTTTCAAAAGTAGTTGGAAGGTAGAAGGGAAAGGAAGGGTAAATCACTAACTAGAGGGTAGAGACACATTTGCTTTGGCAATATGCAATAAGAGGGAGGTCAGCACAAAATTATCAAGGCAAAAAAACAAAATCATGGGAAGGACCACAAGAGTTAAAGTTAGATAAATACTGTAACATATACAGTCCAGCAATAACGAGAGTAACAATAACCTATGAGTGGATACATAGACGTGCAAGCTGAACAAGAGTGAGAAGACAAATGGTACTATACCCATTTATATGTATAGGTTTAACAGAGGGTATTTCTACATATGTATTTATGTGTGCTGCAAACATATCCATGAATATAATAGAACATACAGGATGCAAAATTATGAAAATTTCTTACCCATAACCAAATACCTTCAGGGAAGGAGTTTCTGGGTCTGGGGACTCATGACCTCAGGACCATGACCAGGGACATCAAGGTCAATAGGCATAACATAGTCCACAAAGATAATGTTCTATATCCTACTTTGGAGAGTAGTGACTGGGGTCTTAAAAGCTTGCGAATGCCCATCTAAGGTGTAACTATTGGTCTCTTCCCTCCGGAGCAAAGATGAATGAAGAAAATCAAAGATACATGGGGAAAAAAATCAAAGATACATGGAAGAAACTAATTCAGAGGACTAATGGACCATGTGAATCCCAGTCTCCACAACCCTGAGACCAAAAGAAGTAGCTGGTGCCTGGCTACCACTGCCAACCACTCTGAAAAGGATCTGAATAGGAGGTCCTAGATAGAGTGGGGGGAGCTCTGGTAGCATAGTGGCTAAAGCACTTGACTGCTAACCAGAAGGCTGGCGGTTCAAACCCACCAGCCACTCCTCGGAAGAAAGGTTGGGCAATCCTACTTCCGTAATGATACTGCCTCGGAAACCCAAGGAGGGGTCGCTATGAGTTAGGGCTGACTTGACGGCAGATAACAACAACAACAGATAGAGTGGGAGAAAAATGTGGAACAAAACTAAAAAAAAAAAAAAAAGCCAGGTTTACTGGTTTGATAGAGACTGGTGAAACCCCTAAGACTATGGCCTTTAGACACTTTTCAAACCTAGAACTGAAGTCACCTCCATGGCTCAACTTTCAACCTAACAATAATCAGGCCTAGAAGGTGAACAATAACACCAACAAGGTACGTATTTCTCAGAACAACCAATTATAAGAGACCACAAGGGCAGCATTTGTCAAGGGATAAATCTCAGAAGGCAGGAAGGGATAGGAAAGAAGAACAAATGGAAATATAAACACAGGGAGGAAGAGGGGAGAGAACTGTTACATTGTGGAGATTGCAATCAATGTCATGAATCAAAATATGAATTGTTTAATTAAATTTGCTCTGCAAACCAATTTGCTCTGCAAACATTCACCCAAATCACAATAAAAAGTAAAAAAAAAAAAGTTACTGGAATATCGTACCTTCTAAACCAGGAGTGCAGACTGAAGGAGAGTAATGGGCAAATACAACTTAGCTGAGGTATTTCACCAAGGGAGGGAAGAAAAATGTACTTTGAAAGAAATTAAAGGTGTTGGAATTTCCATGAGTTTGAAGAAAGTTGGGCCGTGAGGTATAAGAAACAAGTCAGGTTCTCCATCACAACCCTGGCAGAGAGCACCAATGGACATGGTTGCTCAACTTGGTTCCTAAACGCAGTTGCATTTTGGAAGCATGCCTGCAGTGACCATGAAGCCGTTGCTGGCCTGGAGCCCAACAGGCTTGTGAATCAAGTTGCCTGTGTGTTTTGTGTGCTCTCACAGACGGTTCTTTGTGAAGGGCTGAGCAATTCCACTCTGGCTATGAAGTGTTCCCTACCGCACCCCCACCCCAAATGTTTGCTTTGGATCTGAAAGTCTATTTAGATGGTACTTGGAGTTGGATTAAAGGAGAACTGAGCAGAAGGACAGAGAATAAACCCAGCAGAAGCACAGAACAAGCTGTAGATTTTGGAGAACAACCCAGGGTATATTCATGGGCAGGGGAGGTCCGGCCTCCCTTTCACCCTCACTTCAATTAGAGTCAAGACTGTAATGAAACACAGGCCCTGGACCTCTTCTTGTGCCCCAAGATTCACAGCACTTGACTTGCCGATCAGGGGCTCATCCTCACTTTGTTTTCACACATAACTAGTTTTTAATTAAATTTGACTTCCTCACATCTGTTCAGAAGGCCAAGGCCCTTTGGAAGTGGCAAGCACAAAAGCAGGGACATGCTGGCAAAAGAGAAAAGCTAACAGAGCAGAGCTCTTCAATCCAACCTATTTTGGTGGGGAAACAGGCTCAGAGCAGGCTCTGCCCAGAGAATTGTCCTTGTCCAATGGTCATTGTCCATGGAGATTAGTCTCTTAAGCCCCTGGAATCCCAGTTGCTCACAGACGCCTAGGTAGGTAGCCAAGTGTGACCCTTGTTCAATACAATAACTTTCTCAATGTGTGCTTTCTCTCTCATCCCTCCCTTGCCCCTCTGGCCTCTTCCCTCCCTGCCCTGGTTTCCTCCCTTCTCCTCCTCCTCTCCCCACCCCCCACAGAGATCTGTGCGGCTGACTGTGGTGGTCATGGCATCTGCGTAGGGGGCACCTGCCGCTGTGAGGATGGTTGGATGGGTGCAGCCTGTGACCAGCGGGCCTGCCACCCACGCTGTGCTGAGCATGGGACCTGCCGCGACGGCAAGTGCGAGTGCAGCCCGGGCTGGAATGGCGAACACTGCACCATCGGTAGGGCGGGCCAAAGCCCACACACCTTCTCTTGTCTGCATGGCACCTCTGTCTGTTGGGGACTTCAGGGCCAAGCCTGAGCCCCTAGTGAATGTAGAAACTAGACAAAAAGTTCTTTCATCTGGCAATATTATGACTGGCTTTTCTTAGATATCAATTGGATTTTAAGTCACAATTGGCCATTTTCAACTTCTGCTACCTGATTTGCATTTCTGAGATCCCAGATAGTTGGTTAACATGCCTTACTTTTTAGCCCTTCCACAAAGAGTCAAAATGCAATATAACTTTGTGTTAAAGACCTCGGGTTCAGGAATGAGGCAGATGATGCTACCACTTAGGAGTTGTGGGCAAGTCCCATCACCTCTCTATGATCCTCAGTTTCCTCATCTATGAGCTCGGGATAAAAATGCATGTAAAGAGCTTAGCACACAGTAGAGTGCTCAGTAAATGTAGCCATTGGTATTAGTATTTATTATCATTATCTGATTGAGTTGGCTGTTGCTGAGCTCTGACATCTCCACTCCCACTGGCTTTCTAGACAAGAGCTCCCAAGGAGGCCTGGAATCCTGGGGAAAGCTTCCCACAAGCCCAGAGGCCACATCTGTATCCCATTAGACCTAGGCTCCCCCGTCTCCTGTCCTCAGCTTCAATCCCGTCTGCATTTGTCTCCTGTCCTCTCTCTTGGGAGCTCCTCAGACTGGTCCCTGCTGAAACAGCACTACTGGCAGCTTTGAAAACAAGCACATCACTCCGTTCACTTCTTTCTGCCTTTCCTGCTGGTTTTGTTGATTTTAAACACAGCCAGACATTTTGCTTGGTTTATTATCTTGGAATGAACACTTACCATCAGCTCTTTATTGAATCAGCTGGTTTGTGTATGTGTGTTTTTAACTCCCCCCCCCCTTTTTTTAAAGAAAAGTCTGTGATCAGATGGTGAGCAAATGGCTTTAGAAGGCAGGATTCTGGGTGCCTCTCCCATCCTGAAAGTGACCTCCTAGGTCTTCTAGAGAATGAGAGAGAAGCTCCAAAGTTTTTAGTGACAAAGGAATTTTGAGCAAACTTAAACCAGAAAACCAAACCCACTTCCATCAAGTTGATTCTGACCCATAGTGACCCTATAGTACAAAGTAGAACTAGTTACCTCTTATCTCTTGCATTTTTTGTTTTAGATTTCATTCCCTTTGTTTTGCAATTATATCTTCAGTCCCTGCTCCTGAACCATCACTGTGTTGATAAATGGTTGTGGAACACCTTACATTGCTCATTACTAATAACAATGGCTTCCATTTTTTGAGTATTTGCAATGTGCCGAGCACTGTGCTGAGGACTTTGACTGCTTTACTTCATACTCCTGGCAACCACCTTGCCTCAGGGACCTGAGACTTGTAGTCACACAACTTTAAAGTGTAGAACAGGAATTTGAACCTGAATTTTCTGAGCCTTAGTAGAGGGGAGCTCCTCACCAGCTTTTTGCTTTGCAGTCCTCACACACAAAGTTTAGCATTTGGCTAATGTCCCCCCCAGAGGCTGTGTTATCATGCCTGCACTCAGAGTTCCTCACTTTTTTGCCTCAGACCATCCTTTTAATCAAGCCTCTCCAAAGCTGATTGCAGTCCTCCCTGCTTCTCGAGAGTGAATGTCCCACGTGGTCTTACTGTGTACCAATTGATGGTTTCTTTATGTAGGTGTCATTCTACCTTACCACTGTCTGGAAGCTCCCTAATGAAAAGTGACCCTATTCGTCAGAGGGGTCCTTTAAACATAGACACACACACACACTCACACACAAACACACAGCACTGCCCTCCAGCAAACAAAGTCCAGGTTTCTGTAACCTGATTACAGACTCCTCAGCTCACCATACCAAGTTCTGAAAAGTTCATAAACGTCAAACTTTTGTAAGATAAAAGCATCTCATCTAAGTCAAATGACCAGGGATTTGGGGAATTCTCTCTAAGTGAAGCCATACGTGATTCATGACAGTTTGTAGGCATGCTGTGCTGCCTCTAGTTTTTGTGGCTGTTCATCAATGTGGCTTTAAGAATATCCCTTTTATTTTGATACAAACATATCAAGCTTTCCTTCTCCTACCTCCCCTGCACACCCTGTTATCATTCTTTCAGAACAAATTCCTCCTTGGAATTGCAGATGCTTTTTCCCCTCTAGATAAGAAATACATCAAAGTAAATGTGCACAATTCAAGAGCAAGGTTGACAGTCATAAATGCCAGAAAAATGTCATAGGACATTGAAGAAGTAATGAGCTAGTCATAGTGGCTCAGATGAAAGGACTTTGGCTCAGAATTCTATTCCCTTTCATTGTGCAGTGAGCATTTTCTTTTTCCTTGTTTAAATTTCCTGCATGGCAACTTGCTCTTTGTGGATCTCTGCCTGTGGCCAGCTGCATCTCCACTGAGAAACCCAACACCCTACTGCTGAAGGAACACTTTAATAACTTGGTCAGATGCAAATTAGGGAAACAATGGTGGGTGCCTTCCCTTTCTTGTTGGCATGGAAATGAGGAGAAAGCCCTTTTTAATCTTTGATGGTAACAAGAAGCACTATCTTATGCTTCCAGGGCACTATACTCCCTGTGAGGGTCATTTAGGAAAAGGAAAATTTGTTGATGTGAAAAGTTAGAAATTCAGTGTTAAATTTTCTCTTGTTATCAGATTTTATTATTATACAATAGGTCATTATAGTGCAGATCGTTCATATGCCCCAGCGTAGGTATTTGCCATATCAGAGAAAGAGCTGGCATTCGTGACACTGATTCAGAGAGCTCCGTGCAGTGGAGTCATAAGCGTGAGAGAGGAGGGCCTGTTTATTTACACACTGCAGCCCTCCATAAACAGGAAAGAATGACTTGATTACCTTACTGCTTGTATAAAGGACAAAAGAATAAAACAAATCTGCCTCCTTATGGCCAAGTCTCCAGGCAAAAAAAAAAAAAAAATTCTTTCTTACCCCAATGACGTATCCCGGAGCATATTATTATAGGAATTAAAGATTCTGTTTTGGGGGCTTTAGTACTTTCTTTTATGGAAGGGCTTTGATTTTTCTCAGAAGATACTGGTTTTCAAAATAAAAATCTAAGGGAATTTGAAGTGGATTCTTCTCTAATGATAATAATTTGTCAAAAAGCAAGAACATTTCACATTGGATCTTAATTCCTCATGTTAGAATTTACCTATATTTTTGCATCCCTAAGAAAGAAATTTGGTGCAAGTGCCTTGGGTAACCTATGTAGTTGCTTGGGGCTTCAGTTTCTCCCTCTGTGAAGAGGGGAATGGGGTGGCTGGAGGAGTCCTCCAGGGATGACAAAACACCAGCCATCTTCTCTACTGTCTACAGAACTGCACACCTATTAGCCCAAAACTGAGTCTTCTACTCTTAAAATTGTCCTGGGGAAAAAGGATTCTTCATTTTTGTTCTCACTTACTCAACACTAAAATTCATACTTGTTTATACAGAACGATTTTTCTAGTCGACAAGTTAAGATGGATTGATTTGTATCAATTTCTAACAACTCAAGAGTCATCCAAGAACCTATTTGTGGTTGTCTTTTCAGGAATTTTATTGGTCCCTGAAGTCTACGACTTAACCTCAGATTTCTTTAGCAAAAGCTAAAAATCACAGTTAAATTTAAGAAGGTGTTTAATTCTTTCCTACTTCTTTGAACATTTTATTCACTTCAGTGCCCCTTTCTATAATGTCTCAAAACATGTCTGGGAAATGCCAGCTTCTGATTACATTTGTAAAATTCCAGCCTTGACCCCAAAGCTATGATAGTTCAAGATTCCAGATATATAGCATTAGTTACTAGACTTCAGGAGAGCTGTTCAATCACATAAATCCCAATTCTTAAACAAAAGCATCCTCTGGGAGTAAAGATCGAAATAATATTGATGATACACTCACTTGAGTGAGCAAACCCAGACTTCATGATGAAGAGAAATTATAAAGAAAAACCCCCAAATCTTCTGGAGTGTTTTGTCCGCTTTTGAATAGTAACACTCGAGCTTCCTTTTTGCAATCAGACAATTCCTAACTGAGAGCTCACGAATCACTCATGAGGTATCAGAGTCTGTGTGATACCCTATGCTATCCCTCCTCAAAAACATTCTTTCATAACAGGACCTGTGACCTGATAGGACAGCTGCTGACAAGGAGAAAGAGAAAATGTACAGAGATCTACCCAAGTTGTCTGAGCAACAGAGTTTAATTTGCTAATGGTTCTGGGAGGTTTCTGCCCCTACATGGTAGGGATGGGAAAGTTGTTGGGCTTTGTGAATTCCCTTCACTGACCGTTCATCCACCTTCCACAGAGACAAAAGCCTTAATGTATCCAAAGTCTTGACAGGAACATCTGTTTGGTGCTTTATCATCCATCTGAAAGACGTTTAGTTGATTATAACTACCACAACAGGAGCTCTGGTAGCATAGTGCCTAAGGCATTTGACTGCTAACCAGAAGGCTGGCGGTTCAAACCCACCAGCCACTCCTTGGAAGGAAGGTTGTGCAATCTACTTCTGTAGTGATACCACCTCAGAAACCCAAGGAGGGGTTGCCATGAGTTGGGTCCGACTCAACGGCACATAACAACAACAACAAGCATCACCTGCTGTAATGATCCTTGTTTAATCTGGGCTAACATATACCAATGACACAACTAATAGAGTCAACCTGAGACTCCTAGAGGAGCGTTGGTGGCACAGTGATTAAAGCACTCAAATGCCACCCACGAGATTGGTGCTGTGAACCCACCAGCCATGCCACAGGAGAGAGATGTGGCACTCTGCTTCCATAAACCTTGAAAACCCTATGGGGTAGTTCTGCCCTATTCTTTATGGTTGCTATGAGAAACAATTGACTTGATGACAGTAGGTAGGGGGCTCCTGGAGAATAAGAATGGAAAGCCACTTACCATGATCTACATAACTTTCAACAGGATCCCCCTAAACTTCTAGGGATTATCCTAAGATAAACTTTTGGAAATTTCTGTTGGTACAAGCAAGTCAAGAAAAGAAGCTTCATGATGGAGACTTAGAAATGCCAAAGACATCTAAGACTTCAAGATCAACCTATGCTAAAGGCTCAGAGTCTGTATTGCTTTGTGCCAACGTTATCTCCAGCTTCTCACATAGTGACAAGAATATAGCAGGAGAATAAAAAATATTTATGCAGTGTTGAAAGAATAAGCATTGTTCAGGAGTAAAGATGACTCTACCACCATCATCTTCATTGCAAAATTCTGAAGAGAATAATGCAGGCATTTTATGAAGTCCTGGGCCCACTTCCTTAATGCAAACTTATGGACATGACATTATGTCTTCTAAAAGTTGGTATTATAAAGCCATGATGAATTTTAAAATAGCCATACTCAAGAGCATGTGTGCCAAGACTCTCAAACAATAACAGCAACAACAGTATGGATTTCTGCATATGCTTTTTATATAAATAAATTGCATTGGATTTCAAAGTCCCAGTTATCACTTCTATTTTAAATAGCCAGAAACAAGAAAGCTCTATTCCATTCCTAGAAAACTCTTGGATTTGTTACTGACTGGTAGTTACTGGCTTTTGGAGTCACTCTGTGGCTTGAGGTTGTATAGGAAAGGAATCCCTTTTGATTTGTAGAGTCAAAATGTGAAGTTTTAAATGTCCATTCTTGTCTCCTGAAAACCCACCATGTTGATTGTAATCTTAGCATGCTTCAAGCTCTCCCATTGGCTGCTATTCCTGCCTCTGGTCTACAGAAATTAGTATGCAGTATTTTTAAAGGTATCAAAATTATATTTACATTTCACAGATTTTTTGCTATTATATAATTCTTGAAAATAAAATGGCATTAGAAAAGAGAGGACTCTCTAAATAAAATCAATCCCAGGGGGAGAGATTATCCAATAGAGTGGATATAATCCTTACTTATCACCAGAGCCATGAGACCACTATTAAGTTTGAAGACTATCAAAAAAGTTTTCTTGTGAAAGAACTCTCTCAAAACACATGCGGTTGTGGTAAGTTTTGGTCAATGACATGAGACAAAGTATATGTGAACTGCTGTATGAAAAGTGACTTTTCTCTGTAAATCTTCACCCAAATCAAAATAAAATTAAAACAAAAACAAAAACAAAAAAATAACGCATGCGGCCATTTGTATCCCAATGATGGTATCTTACCCATCCTGGTCATCCTTGCCAACCCTGTGATAGAACTCTAGGCTCAAGCCATCTCTTCTGTAGCTGAGTGTGGACTTATTACAAGAACTTATGATGATGTCTCTCCAAAAAAAAAAAAAAAACTCTGCAGATTGGAAAGCTAAAAACATCATTCAGTCCAACTAAGCCAGGAAGATCCTATGTGCTACTGCTTATAGATGACATATCCCAGGAGATGATGTCTAAGAAATTTCAGATCACTTTGCAAAATGAAATAAATGAGCTCAACTAAGAATAAAATCACAGATGAACCAAGAATGAAGAAAGTCTATCCCTTGGCCAGAAATTTCCCTAGACTCTTCTTCATGTGGACTGCCCCTATTTTTCTTGATTGGCATTCCACAGCTTTATTTATTCATTCCTGCTTAAGAAGTCACTCTCTTTCACATTTCCCTTCTTATATCCTGCTATCTGATGGACTCCACAGCATCTTTTAAAAATGAAGGGAAGTGTGCAGGCCCACACAAAAATCCCCTCTTCCCCATTATCCACTTGGCTGTGCAGCCTCCAGGAGCATATCTCATCTTGAAACTGAGACCACGTGGATATCCATACTAAGAACACAGCCTCGCATCCACCAGTCTTTTGAGGCAAATATATATTGATGAACAGCAGCAGTGTCTGTCTTTTCCAGAGGACTGAAAAATAAAACTTATATATTTTTTTCTAAAGAGAGTAAGAATGTTCTTACAGGTTATAGAACCTTAGAGCATCCATGTTAGGCAGCTCATTCTTATTTTATGGACTTCTGATTCATGTGTGAAATCAAGCTGAGAAAGGGACCCAGCCTGACCAGAAGGCATAGGCCTTTCAGGAGATTGCAGTCTATCTAGGCTTTACAGGAACACAGACCTGGGGAAATTATAGGGATGGGGTGAAAGGGAAGGAAGCTTCTTAAACAGCTATGTCTACAGCTTAGGTGGGGGAGGTGAAAGGTACTGCTTATTTATGTTGAGTAAGGCAAACACTTCTACACTGATTTAAATACACAGCCAGGAACCCACATCTATGCACAGTGGGGTTTATTTCACAGCAACATTTAACACACAGCCTCACAAATAAGCAAAACCTTTGGTTGACAATAATTTAATGCTTGGACACAAGCCACTCCATTGGAAGACAACACATATATCATTCTATCATTTACATTAATGAACATTGAGAAGTGGTCAAGTTCTCTTTTCCTTTTCTTGGTTTTCACAGTGACATCCATTGACCTGCACCATGCATTCTGTGTAAGATGCACAAAGAAGGACTGCATCTTACTTAAAACACCAAGCATTCTGCATTCAAGTATATGTAGACACACCTGTACATAGAAAATCCAGGAATGGCCAATAGATGATCTAACAGTATATTTGACCAAAGACTCATCTCAGGATAACTCACTTTACCAGTGCTTATCAGAGATGGTTCCTATTTCCGTATTCCAGCTTCTCGGGATCACCTCTGTCCAGGCAGGGTGCACTTGTTCTTGGTACAGCTGCTTCCTGTCTAGGGAGGGGAGATGCTTCTCTGAGCACCATAAAGGGGCATTTATAGTTTCTCATAAAGCTGAACCAAACCTGATGGAGCAGGAGTGTGGTCACTTTTGCAGCTTCCCATCCCCCTTTCTCCTATTTTCCTTACCCATACGTCGTCTTGTTTATTTGATCATGTTTCAAACCCCTTGGCCACTGAATGAGTTGAAGTTCCCCCTTGGCCCTTCATGGAGAATGTGCTTGCTCTCCTTCTTCTCTTGTGTTGTCCTTTATGGTTTTATTTGCCTCCCTGTGGCAGAGGTCTGCCCCAAGCATGGGGCATATCCTCCTTTGTCTCCTTAGCACCTGGCATGGTTGTGTGGCAGGCATAATTGCACTTACTGGATTCTACCTTAAATGTCCTGTCTTTTATCTCCCAAGCTCACTATCTGGATAGGGTAGTTAAAGGTATGGTCTTCCTTCCTCTATTTTCCTGTCTTTGTGTGTGTGTTTGTGTATGAGCATAAAGGAAGAAAAGTGTATATAAAAATGTATATACACCTCATAAGCATGGTGTCTAGACTCTGCCACATCCCCAGCCTTGTCACAGCATCCACTGCTCAAAGGGGGTAGGTTTTGGGTCACAAGATGGTTGATATACCTGGAGTGCCATTCTCCCCTTAAGGCAATCAGATCTGTTTGTGACATTACCATTGTGCCATTGTCCTTCCCTCCCCCTCACACACATACACTCCTCACCCTTCTCACCCCACCTCATGTCACCTTGCTCATCCCTTATGGCCCCTGATCCATCAGAATTAAAGTGCTGGGAGCCAGGGTGGGTGGCCTGAGAGAAGAGAGGACCCCAGAGCAAACTAAAAACTCCTAATAACTACATCTTATTATTACTACGTACACTCACTCAGCAATGTTGTATGAACTAGTTATTGTGCCAGGAGACATGGGGACCCTGACCTCAGCGAGTGTATTGTCTCCTCCCCACCCCACCCCTTCCAAAGAAGACTTGGCTTTGGTAGATTTTACCTTTGAAGAATATTCCCTAAAGGCATATTCCATTTTAAATGTTTACATTAATTTAATTAAGTGATGCCTAGTTGTCTAAATAAACCTCATTGATGTAAGAATAATTCTCAGAATGATCAGCCATTTGTATTTCTAAAAGACTCTAAGCTCCCCAAGGAGAAATACCATGTCATATTCATCTTTTTGTCCCCAGATACCAACACGGTGCCTGGCAAATAATAAATACGTTGTCAGTCATTAGGGGACATGCTCCATGGCACACACCAGACTTTTTGGGTTTAACTCCAACTCCAACACTTAATGAACTAGTGGCCTTGGGCAAGCTACTTAACTCTCTTTACTTCAGAAACTTTATAAAATGAGGGTGATGAAAGGACCTCATAGGGCTGGTGGGAGGATTAAGAGCAACAGTGAATGCACAGTGCTTAGCACTTAGGCAGGAATGATGCTCAAATGTTACCTCTGCTATTCTGTCATCATCATAACCACCACCTTGTTCTCATTAATTTATGAAATTATGAAGGAAAATGCTAAATTGACTTTTGATAAGAGACAGCAACTGCTGTTTTTAAAAACTATGGATGTATCATTTTCACCAAATATATATTTTTTTAAAAAAAAATTATGGACAGGATTTGAAAGAAACAAACAAACAAAAATGACTAAATGCTTTTCAGCTGGAACATTCTTCCCAGCCACAGCAAAGGTGGTTGCTAGGGCCATCGTATGGATGCCTGGTTTTGAGAAGCAAGGCTTCTCACATTTCACATTCTGGCCCTAAACTGAGAATAAAGTCATTTCAGCAAGAGAAAGTAGTGCCTCTGAGCCTCTTTAAAACAGGCATTACATGCATACTTGTCATCAGACAAATCTGCAGGATGGACTAAATTTAATAACGTTACCTTCTATTTTATGGAATTTTTTCCTACTGTGTAAAGCTTTTACATATCTTAAATGAGTCCTGTGAATTATTTTTAAGGGATCAAATATAATATACTTGTATTAAAAAGCGGCTGAAATTGAGGAAGTTGAATGACTCATCCTAGATCATACTTCTGCTAAGTGGATTTCCTAGTCTAATTCGTGTTTCAGACATTCTACCTTCTATACCATAAATCACCAATAATGTCCCATCATTTCTTTTCTCCAAACCACTTCTTCCAAATTGACATCCTCACCAAGAAGTGGCACATATTCTCTCTTAAACCACCTGTTCTAATCTTTAGTTCAGATAGTGTCATCACTAGACCTTTCATTGGATTAGGCCAATGAATCATAACTTGCTTTAAAAGTCAAATGTTTCTTGGCAAAATCTAGGTCTGTACCATGAAAGCTCAGGACTTGTCAAAGCAGAGTATTTTGTAGTTCAAAGACAAGCCAGTTTGGTTTCTTTGCTTTCCAGCTGCATTGGTAGAGACTAAATAAACATTTATTCACTAAACAAGTACATTGAACTCTTCCTAAGTGCCAAGAAAGATGAATACCACACAACAGAAATGGTCCCTGCTCTTAGGGTGCCTGCAGTCTAGCAGAGATGACAGTAGAACAAATAATTCCAATAAAGTATGATGGGAGTTATGACAGTGGAAGTTCAGGAGCTGCTTAGTAAGAACCTTCCAGCTTAGGCAGGGGCCTTATGAAATAGGATTTTGGACTTTAACCTAAGGGTATTAGAAAACCACTGGAGATTTTTAAAGGCAAAGTAATGATTTAGTCACATCTGTGATTTGGAAAAAATCAATTTGCCAACATTACGGAGGAAGTATTGAAGAGTAACATTTGGAGGCAAAGAGGCCAATTAGGAGGTATTGCTGTGACCCCAGTATAAGATGATGGTGTTCTTATCTAGGGAAGTGACTGTAGGGACAAGAAAGAGAAACACAAACAGGGCATTTTGTATTGCATGGCCCCCTTGCCACCACTTAACAAAGAACAAATATGCTTTTGTTTGCGGGGCATTGAGTTTATGCTAATGGTGGTGGAATATTTTGGAAAAGGATGATAATAATGGTGGTACAACATGAAAAATGTCATCAGTGTCCCTGAGCTGTAAATGGGGAAGTTGTTATGTTGGCGAATGTCTTATTGTGTATGTTTTCACCACAATAAAAGTAAAAATAAAAGACCTTCTATGATTCTGGAAATCTTCTAGTCCTGCCTGATGCTAGCTGCAAGGGGGACTTCTCCATAGGCTTAAGCAGAAGGTTGAAGATAAAGTGGTCCCTTGTCATTTAAAGGCCATCGTTTCTTTTGAAAAGCTTAGCCTTTCTCTAAACCTTAAAATTACATTATTTTGGTGCTAGCAAATGCCTGGTGTGAGTCCTTCCAGTGGGGATTTTAATGTCACTTGAGCTCTCTGAATTATTGATGAGTTTCGGGGTTTCTAGAATTAATGAGCTTCAGCAGTGAGTAAGGATGGCCATATTGCTTTAAGAAAGTCAGCAAGTCACTCTGGAGGAAGCTTCCTCATGCTATCTAAAGAGAGTATGATTATCCCAGAAGCAAATTCCTGGATGAGAGCAAACCTCATTCAACCCTCCAGTATTCAGAGTCCCTCTGAAACTGATGGGACAGTACATATCCTCAGGGAATAATTTGGTCCATTTGAAAAATTGACTGTGGTTAAAGTTTTCCTGTGATTTCATGTCTACCATTTACCTGCCCTCACAACCCATGCTCCTTGAGGCAGTGTGAGAGCGGCACAGACTGTGTGCACTACTGGGCACTGGATGCTAAGAGGAGCTCGCTGGATCAGGGGATCCCAGAGTAGGTTTGTACTGTAGAATAATGTAAGAAGGGTAATGGGGAAGACAAGAATTCTGAAATCAGTTTGTGAAATGTTCAATACTTAAACAAGCAAGTCTCTTTATTACAGGACTTCTCAGAGCCTTTGATATGTTGACATTCCTTGTGACTTTCTAGGATAAGGTTATAGGGTACCATGTTTTCCACACGTATTTTTACCTCAGAAGCTTGCTATTGAGTAGTTTACAGAACTAGTGTTTTACAGAGTTTACTTTGAAAAATATTACTTGGAATTATAAGATCCACCTTCAATCTTTCCTGGAAAAAAGTGGGGTATACATAAATAGGATATAAAATTCTTGAAGACAGGGAATGTATCTCATCTCTGTATACCCTAGAATTAGCACAAGTCCTGAAATACAGTAGGAGTAGACTTAGGTTTATTGAAATTATCTAAGTTGAAGTTGTTTTAACCTTCTCTACTGGGTCAGTTGTGCTAGAAGGACCTAACAGATTATCTCATCCAAACCCCCATTTTATAGATCAAAAAATTGAAGGCCAAAAGAGGGAAAATAACTTTACCACAACCTCACAAGTTAGGCCAAAGAAACCAGAACCTTGGTCTCCTTTCTTTTCATTTATTAATCTCAACAAATATATATTGACTGCTTGCTCTGTGTGAGACATTGGAATAACTGCAAAATTAATAATTTCAGTATGCTTGCTATCAGGAAAAGGACAGGGTACTAGGAAAGCATGAAGTGGTGGGCCTGGCCTGGAGCCCATTGCCCTGAATCTATCATACCAGCTGCCACCACAGTGCATATTGACCCCATTATCACCTGTCATGGGCTGTCTAGTCTCTCTTTGGTGAGGTTTGTATTTATGACAACTCAAACATTCACACAATGTGGGCTAGCAAAGGGTTATTTTCTGCTTTGTGAGTTTCTGGTGGTGTAGTACCTAAGGCATTTCACTGCTAACCAGAAGGTTGGTGGTTCAAACCCACCAGCCACTCCATGGAAAATGGGGCAGTCTACCTCCATGAAGATTTACTGCCTAGGAAACCCAGTGGGGGTTGCTATGAGTCGAATCAACTCAATGGCAGTGAGTTTGGTTTTGTTTCTTGGATTTAGTGAAGTTAGGCAAATTTAAAACAAATCCACTAATAACAATAATAATAGCAACTACCATTTATCGAATGCTTGTTTATGCTATGTACTGTGCTAAATAATTAATATAAACCAAAAGACAAACTTACTGCTGTTGAGTCAGATCCGACTCATGGCAACCCCTCCTTGGGTTTCTGAGGTGGTATCACTACAGAAGTAGGATATAGATTATCTCAATTTAATCCTCTCAACAACTCTTTGGGTTAGGTATTATATCCATTTTACAAATGAGAAAAACTGAAGCTTGAAGGGTTAAGTAATTTGCCATCATCATGTGGGGAGCAAGTAAATGATGGTCCTAGGCTTTGAACTTAGTCTGTTCTGCTCCAAAGTCCACACTCTACTACAACATATGGATTTTATTAAGAAGAATGAAATGGATTGAAATTAGAAGCATCCTAGAAAATTGGGATCTGAATTTGTTTTTAAAGTTACTTAATTTAGAAATAATATATGTAACATGCTTACCACAGTGGTCAGCCATTTTGGACTTTGAGTATATGGCAGTTGTCATTGTCATCACTGTTTTCAAAGCATCTAAACCACACGTTGGCAAACTACTGCCATGAACCAAATCTGACCTGCTACCTGTTTTTTGTCAATAAAGTTTTATTGGAATACAGCCACACTCAAATATGCAAATTATCTGTGGTTGCTTTCATACTACAATCGCAGAGTTGAGTAATTTCCACAGAGCCCATATGGTGCACAACCCTGAAATATTTATAATCTGGACCTTCACAGAAACAAAGTATGCTGACCCCTGATATAGAGAAATACCTGAGTTTTCTATTTTTCAGTTCTATGGACCCTACCTGAGATTATGGGCACAATTTAATGAAATTATATGGCCTTTGCCCAGAATTAATACCTAAGACATTTATTAGTCTGCTAACCAGAAGGCTGGTGGTTCAAACCCACCAGCCGCTCCTTGGAAGGAAGATTGGGCAATCTGCTTCCATAGTGATACTGCCTCGGAAACCCAAGGAGGGGTAGTTATGAGTCAGATCCGACTCGACGGCAGTGAATTCATTTTTCATCTGCCCAAAATAGGGAGAAGGTCAAGGTGAGTAGAAGAGTTAGAGATCGCATAAATATAGTAGTATCCCAGCTGTATGCCAGGCTTTGTATATCATGTATACATTACCTTATTTAGTGCTCAAAGATATTAAATAACTTGCCTGGATCACACAGCCAAACATTTTTTATGGCTCTCAAGCCTATGCTCTTATACAAAAGATGTTCTTAGCATTTTATAAGAAGCAAAAGAAAGCAGTCTGCTGCCATTCTTAGAGATTAGACCAAAACTAATTTTAAATAAAATGAGATTAATTGAAAGGAAATCCCAAGGACCCCCAATACTATGGCCCTGGGATACACTTCGGGCCTGGAATAAAACTCATTCCCAGAGGCTAGCTCTCAGTCTCTGTACACACAGACTACTCAACTCAGGGTGATGCACCCATATACTCTATGGAGATGCATCCCTTGGAGCAATAAACCATGGGGCACCAGAGGGACAACATTCACTTGGAAGAAATGCAGGTCACACAGGAGTGCATAACTATGAGGGGTCTGGGGGAGGTACTGGTCAGGGAGGGGAGGAGAGTGAGTTAGGATTGAGGATGGTAAATGGGGAGTAAAACCAAGTGTACATAAAATGTTGAATGTAAAATAAAAAAATAAACTCTGCTCTGTAAATTTACACCTAAAGCACACTTTTTAAAAAAGAAAAAAAGAAAGAAGAAGAAGAAAGGAAATCCCAGCCATATGGACAAAAAAATAATTGGGGCTACTTGGAGAAAGGGGTCTCTGCGTACATCACTAGTGTGGCTGCTATTGGCTACTAAGTCAGAATGCCTGGATGGTCACCCACACATCACAGCACTGCACCTGCAGCCTGCTTTTACAGTGCTTCCTCACTCACTTTTGGGGTAGCCATGCTCATGGGTCCTCATCTTCCCCAACAGATATCTGCTATACAAAGACCACATAGTCTATATTTGCTTCTAAACTTTTGGAGGAATTCTTCCTCAGCTCAGAGTGCACATTCAATAAATGTTTCTTCCTTTAAGTGGAAAACACAGTGGCCAGAATGATTAATTGGTAGCTGTGTTGACTATCCCAAGTGGAAATGAACATGTTCCTTTGTTTCACTTTGAAATAGCAGTCAACTATCAAAAGTCTTTGAAACATTGAAGTTTTAGATTCTGATTCATCAACTATTTAGTGAGTGCCTGCCTACCTTGGGCCAGCTCTTGTACTGGACAGCCACTTTCACGTTATCCCATTTAAGAATAGTGGATCAATTTTCAGTTATTTCATGGCAGAAAATTCCATTTATAGTCATATTTATAACAGTTCACTGCTCATAATAGTCATACAAAGTAAGCTTATAGATGACAGAGTGCTTTTACATCCATACTTTCTCTTAGCCTGAGCAGGAGCAGGGAGAAGAGATGGAATGTATGCCATGGATGTTGTTTTTTGATAGCCCCTCTGAGAGAAAGAGTTGGCAGGTTTGTTAAAATGAGAACATGAGTGAAAACCAAGTGGCAAAATAAAAGCTGAAGTGAATCATGTACTTTACAGATTCTTGGACATATATATTCTCAGTCACAAACTCAGAGAGTGGGGCTTGAATAGGTGGTAATCAAAAACCTTTTATTCTATTTAAATAAGAATAAAAATCTTATATTATGGACAAAGCACAACCAAAGCTGAGAGCCTAAATATTGTCTAACCCTTCTTGATTAAATTGTTCAGAGCCCTCTCAATCAGATGGCCACTCCCGTGATAGGTTCTCAACCCATTTTGATCCCTTAGGGCACTTAGCAGTGAAGTTTTTTGCTTATACAACTCTTTCTCCTTTGGACAGGCTGCAAGCACCTTAAGAATAAGAACTGAGTCTTACTCATCTCTGTACCTCCAGTGCTAGCCCAGAGAAGATGATAATAAATGATAGACAGACAGATTGTACAGATTAACAAAATTAGGGAAGAGCAGCCTGCCAGTATCTGGACTTGCAATTACAGACAGCACCAGTTAGATTCTTTTGGCCATCACTGGGGCTCCTCTGGGTGCACAGCCTGCATCTAAGTGTGGCTGTAGACCACATGGTAAGAAAAAGACCTAAGCCAAGATAGTCGTTTAAGAGAAAATAAGACAAAATAAATGAAAAGCCTAAAGTCCAATACAATTGACCTAGTAACAAGAGTTGGAAAAAGTACAGCCCTTTAGAATGATACCCGGAAGTGCTGAGAGGACACAAGGAGTAAATGGAGAGATGATTCCTTTGTTCTAAACAGCCTCTAGAGACAGGAAACCATCAGCGTGAACAAGGAGAAGGCAAAAACTTCCATTGGTCAGATGCTGACAGGCCTACTTCCAGTGACTCCAGCTCTAGAATTCCAATCAGTTTTGGAAAAGAGGGCTTTAGATGCACAAGGTCTGGATTTGTGCCAATTTCTGACTGTGTGACCTTAGGAAGCCCTTTTCCCTCTGAGTCTCAGTTGTCTTCTCTATAAATTGGAATGTATCTAATGATACTGTTCCCTGGGCTGCTGTGAGCATCATTGTGCTGATGGATGTGAAGGCATTTTGTAAGTTGTCAGGTAGAGTGTGAATGCGTGTGACTGCAGTTAGCTGTGGACGATCAGATGTTGACTCTGCACTTTGCCTTACAGAGGGTTGCCCTGGGTTGTGCAATGGTAACGGCAGATGTACCTTGGACCTGAATGGGTGGCACTGCATCTGCCAGCTGGGCTGGAGAGGAGCTGGCTGTGATACATCCATGGAAACGGCCTGTGGTGACAGCAAAGACAATGATGGAGGTAAGGTTCTGGCTCCCACGTGCCCCACACAGCAATAAGACTGGGAGGCGTAGGGTGTAAGATGGGTATTACTGAGTTAATAGGCCACCAACACCAGCTCTCCATTCAAGGAGACCTTCAGGGCAGGCAGAAAGCTGCACATGTGGTCTGAGGAATGAGTACATATCACCAGTTGTTCCATTTGAATTAATTAAAATTAACTCATAGTGGCTAAGGCACTTGACTGCTCACCAGAAGGCTGGCGGTTCAAACCCACCAGCCACTCCTCGGAAGGAAGGTTGGGCAATCCTACTTCTGTAGTGATACTGCCTCGGAAACCCAAGGAGGGGTCGCTATGAGTCGGGGCCGACTCCACTGCAAACAACAACAACAACAACAACAACAAGGTAAATGAAATTAATTGCTATCTGTCTCCAAATGCAAAGGAAAAGGCACATGGAAGAAAGAGTTTTCTAACAATTTAACAATGGAATGAGTTGCCTAGAAACATTACAAGCCCCTGTCACTAGAACTGGACAAGAGGAGGCTGTCAGGTTCTGTATCATAGATGCTACAGAAGGAAGGCTTCTCCCAGGATGGAGGCTGGGTTACCTTTAGTTCAGATCTCTCCTCCTGTGATAACCCTCATCAGGTCCACGGAGGTCCACTTTTGCTCCCACAACCTCTGTCCCTTAGGGGGTGATAAAAGTCATCTTCACCATTGGCTTATCTTAAGTGCTAGGCAAACAAAGCTCCAAGGAAAGGGATACCTAGTCTTGTATAATATTTATTACCTGAGGGTGAAAGAAATCCTTGTTCTAATCCCAATTGATGGGATTCATGCAAGCTACTTGACATCTCCAGGCATCATTCTCCTGTTTATAAAATGAGGACCATAGGACCATGAGGACCATTCCAGTCCTTATAGTCTAGCCTTCATTTTTCTGTTGTCTAAACCAGATACATAGAACCATAATGTGCTTTACTTTTCCACCTGAAAGATTTGTGGTTGTTCCTGGTACTACCAATCTCTGGAGTTATTCAGAGAATAAAAAGGAAGAGACGTGGGGGGGGGAAATCAAAATAGTTAACTCTCTTTCTATGGTGACTTTACAGTTGACCTAGTCTACACATGTTTAAGCAGATTCTTCGTATTTATAAACAAGGGGCATTTGGGCATGATAGACAGAGTGGAGAATCAATAGGACTGAAAATCAGCACCCCAACCTTTAGGAGTTTTCTGTTTAGAACATTTTTAAAAATCTCTAAGCATCATAAGGATTAAAAGGCCAACTGTGTGATACTGTGATTACTCTGGTTCATTTGCCTTGAATTGGCTTCAGCAGTCTAGAAGGAGAAGAGGCAGCCTCAGACCACTGACCCAGCTTTTAGTCCTTCTGCCTGTGGCTCCAGATGGGCCAGGCTTGAGTCCAGTGGAATAATTGTCCACAAGGAACATGTGGGCTTGAGCCACAGAAGATAGCAGGTCTGTTTTTCACCTTAAATCTAAAAAGGTTGAAATATCCCTGAGTCAATCCGAAACTTGCGAAGTTCATTAATTCTTGTTATTCCATAAATATCCAGAGTTTCTATTATAGGGCCATGCCCTCTGCCAGGCAGAGATGAATAAGTCCTGCCCCTGCCCTCTAAGAACTCAAGTAAGAGAGATAGATAAAGTTAAGTGCTAATGTACTGTGGTAAGTACTGTTGTAGAGCTATGTATTGTATGTGTTGTAGAGCAGTTGTGGGAGCAGAAAATATTCACCAAGAAGGTGGTACTTGAGTAGGTAGGAGTTTCCTGGAAGGAGAATGAATTTCCATTCAGAGAGATCATCATGGGCAAAGGCAGCCCAGAGCAGGAAAGAGCCCCAAGTATCCCTGTCTTCAGGCAAGATGAAGTGCAGCATCTACTCTGAGTGTCTGCTCTGCACTGTGGAGGCTCTCCGTAGCAAAGAGATTTCAGCCTAAATTATCTGCACAGTTTCCTCAGCATGCTGCTTCACTTTGCCTACATAGACAGAATCCCAATGACTAACCATAATATTCATGGAATAGAGGAGAAGGGAAGAGAAGACATATCGTGAAGTCATTCCTTCTCAAGAGTCCAGTGTCCTGGCTAAGGCCTTCAAATAGCTATTGAGCATTTTTGACAGCAAAAGAACTGAATGTCCTTGAGAAAAGTGGTGAGAGGGCACACCTCCCTCCCATCACACATACAAGAACAAGTAATAAAACGAGAATCCTTCATTCCATCACATAAAATTTAATTCCCTCTGTTTATCATACTTAAGAGCCAGCCCTTACAGTAGTAGAACTTCTTTTACAAATATGTACATGTGGCATGAGCATCCATAGGCCCACATCTTTGGTGGGAGAGAAAGCTTCTATCATAAAAAATTGTTTTGATCCAGACCCCAGGGGAATGGTGTCTTCTCCAGCTGTTCTGAGCAATGAACTGACAGAAACTAGAAAAGAACAATCAGAAAATCTCTGTCATAGAGACTGTCCCTCTTGCATTTATGGAATATGTTACAATTTGAAGTGAGCTTTTGTATAACCTTTTAGCAAAACCTCACAATAGCCCTGTAATATGAGTTTACTCATTCACTCAACATATGTTAACTGAGTGTCTACTCAGCATTGTGCTCTGTCCTTCCTACAGGGGCTTTAGAGACAAGTAAGATACAGTCTCCATTGTTGTGAAGTTCACAGAGCTGAGGGAGAGGGAAAAAAATAAGCACTAATTAATTGCATAGCAGTGGGATAAAGGCACATTTGATATTATCAAATGCCTACATACCTACTGGGAACCACAGTAATACAGTTCTTGTCCTTGTGGGGCTTTCAGTGTAGTCCAGAAGATTTTCCATGTGTCAGTGTGGTTGGGAAGACAACTAACTAGGGAGGCCAGATTGTTGAAAGTCCTTGGCCTTGGGTTCTTATCTGTGAAATGAGGAAACTTCCTACCTCAGAACCCTGTCAGTTCAATGGGCTCTCTATCCTGGATATTAGAGGAGCCAGAGGAAGGTACAGAGCACCCCTACTTTGCAGAAGGGCACAGGTGAAGCAACCACAGGAAGCTGACTTTCCCCAGGTGTCAAAGGGGTCAATGCTTATTCTCATTGACCTCCTTATCACTCTGGACCTTGGCCAGTTTGAGGGGAAGGAGAAGCAGGGTAGCATGTGCAAGGCAGCACAAGAGTGAGCCATAGGCAGCACTGGGCTCTTTTCAGTTCAGTCAAGCATACAGTGGTTGGGCTCCTACGGTGTCCAAAGCACCATGCACCCTTCTGAGGAGATATAAAGACCAATGAACATTAAGCCAGGCTTTTCCCATCAGACCTCACAATCATTTGGAAACAACTGTTATCCAAACAATTAAATCCTAATGGAGGAAGAATGAAACAAGTGCCCATGTTTCAGCCATGAGAGGGGACACAGCATAATCCCAGACAAATAATTTAGGGCAAAGGGAAATAATGTTAGAGTCTTACTGAGTGATTGTTCTTGGCTAATATGACTCAGGGGCTTGGAGAAGGAATTACCAGTCAAGTCACAGGACCAGAAGGGACATCAGAGAACAATGACTGTAACTTCCTCCTAATTCCTTGCATGTTACATACAGACAGGCAAACTACAGCCAAGAGTGGCAAGGTGGTGTACCCAAACTCAGACCCAAAGTTACTAACAAAGCCTAAACAAGGGCCCAAGACTCTCAAGCCATTCCACATGGCTTTGTGAGCCTACAGCACTTTCACCTACTTCTAGTGATTTATTCTTCTAGAAATGTAGTATGAACACTTACATAGGTTTAAATAGGCTGCTATAGTACCACAAAGCCTACCAAAGGATGGTAATAAGCTTTGTCATTTTATAGTTTTCAAAGCAATTGTGCATGCACCCAACAACACATTTGAAATTGTTGTTGTTGTTGTTAGGTTCCATTGAGTCCATCTCTACTAACTCCAACCCCACGTGACAGAGCAAAACTGCCCCATAGTTTTCTAGGCTGTAATCTTTGTGGAAGCAGATCCTCAGGATTTTCTCCCATGGAGAAGCTCGGTAGGCTTGAACCACCAACCTTTCAGTTAATAGCCGAGCTCTTAACCATTAACACGACCAGGGCTCCTTTTGGTATTGTCCTCTTGCCATTTCCTTACCATGATGAAAGTGAGACTTAGAAAGCTGAAGTGTTTTGCCTAGGTCACACAGCTCGTAGTTGGCACAAACTGCCTTAGTGAGTGAGGTCTATGCATATTAGAGCTTTTTGCTGCACCCATGCCTTAGAACCTGGTTCATTGTAAAGAACTGTCACCCTCCAAGTAATCTGAGAACTCTGGTCTCTCCACTTACCCAATTTACTAGGTTTAGAACACTCCTTTTCAAATCAAACTTGAATTTCAAGCTTCATTTAAAAAGTTGTTGCAAAGTTTTTAAACTGTGAGGGAAAAAAAAAAAAGTTACACAATGTGGCTGCATTGGAAGCAGCTTTATTGGTTTGTTTTTTGTTTCGTTTACAGTTGAAATCTGGATTTAAAAACAAAAAAACAGGTCCTGAGTGTGACTAGGTGACTCCCAGGCTCCTGATGCCTCTGTTGGGACCACCCATTGAATCCTGCATGCCCCTGGTGTCACCGCAGCATTGGCTGGTGAGAGGGGCCAGTGTGGCAGTCTAAGGCCCTTACTCACACACCCCCTATGAAATTCTTCTATGTTCCCTACTTGACAAAGAAAGTGCATGCTACTCATAGTGCGCCCTTTATGAAGTGCTGTTGCGTGCATCTTCTCATTGGCTGCACACTGACCATCTGATGGGGATGCTCATTTCATCCCCATCTCAAAGATGAGAAAACTGTGGCCCAAACATGCTAAGTGACTGTAAAATGGGAATAATGCCTACCTTGAAGGGTTGCTGTGAGGAGTACAGGCCATGTATTTAAGGTGCCTGAAAGGCAGCGTAGCATGGTGATGAGAATGTGCTACACCAAGATTGTTAGGGTTCAAAATCCTTGCTTCCCCAT